GAGAGAGAGAGAGAGAGAGAGCGCAATGGACAGCACATAAAAGCTTTCTGAGATAAATGAGACAGGATGATGATGATGATGAGTATTGTTTTGTTTCAGAGGGAAAATGATCCCTGCAGAACTCGAGAAAGCCATAGTGGCCGCCAAAATTGACGGTGCTGTCCCGTTCTTCGTGAACGCTACCGGCGGCACTACTGTCTATGGTGCTTACGACCCCATTGATGAGATCGCCGATGTCTGTGAAAAACATAACATTTGGCTTCACGTTGATGTAGGTTTTTACGTATCGCTTTTCTTAATTTTTCACTAAAAGACAATGGGTGAAGATATCTTTTAAATACAGAAAGACCAATTGGCCATTAGCTATTAGTACCTGAGGTCGTTGGAAGAACAGGCATTTCATACATGTACATTCAAGTGTTTGAAATAGGGACGAAAAGTGCTTTACTGAGGCAGGTAATGTTTAATTTTAATTTTAAAAATGCCATGTGCTTCGACGCATATTCTCAGGTTTCCTGAATACCCTGCGCTCCAATGTGCTGAAGTAAGGTGTGTCAAATGCCGTTTTCTTTAAGTGAAGTTTGAATACTATTACTGTACTTTTGTGTTATGTTTCAGTGCGCATGGGGCGGCGGTGTATTGGTGTCTAGCAAACACAAACATCTGGTGAAGGGGATCCACAGGTAAGCATGTGTTCTGGATCATACCTGGCACTCAATGCGCCATTTCATTTTGTTTTGAAAAATATAAATAGTTGCTTTAGAAGAGTAGGGGTCTTTCTCGTAGGGAATCTTTTTTGTAGTAGTACCGGCATTCGAAAAAAAAAAAAGCTAAGCGCATCATTGGTTTGGTTTTCAAACAAATTTCTTGGTTTGTCTTTGCCAATATTTCACCGTTTTTCGTCAATTCCATTAATATATAATACTATGTAATCTGTCGTTATTCCCAGAGCCGATTCTGTGACATGGAACCCACATAAGATGTTGGGCGTTACTCTGCAGTGCTCGGCAATTCTGTTGAAACACAAGGTTGGTTCTTTTTATTATTTAATTTTAATTTTTTAATTACTTTGAATTTATTGCTATTATGAGTAACATGTCAGGAACAAAAATAAATCATCTCTACTCAGACAAGCAATAGGGCATTTTATTGAAAGCGAAAGTGTCTAACTCAGAATCGAAATAATACTTTTATTTTCCTTTTGGAATTTATTTCCAAAAAAAAAAATAATAATAATAATTACACAGTTTTAGTAATTTGACATGTTGTGAGCGAACAATTTCAAGAGAATAAAAACGAAAGCAAAATTTTAAACTTTTTTCATATCTTTGCAGGATCTTCTGGCACACTGTAACTCCATGTGCGCGGACTACCTGTTTCAGCAGGACAAGAACTATGACGTCAGCTATGACACAGGTGACAAGGCGATCCAATGTGGACGGCACAACGACATCTTCAAGTTCTGGCTCATGTGGAGAGCGAAGGTATGACAAATATGGAGCAAAAGAGCTTCTTCGACTGGTTAACACACATGGGTTGTATAAGACTCATGTATGAGCGTCACCTTGTGTACTTGTTATTCTCTTATTTTTACAAGGTTAAGTAATATATTGCAGAACATGCTGAGCAATGATTTACTTTGTGACTAAGAACGCAGATCTTTCATACTGGAAATTTGGTCATTTCGTTTCGTTCTGATGGAGGCATGCTAGATTCCGTCATCACATTAATTCCAAAGTATTGTTTGCCGTCATGTTACTTCTCTTGCAGTATTTTCTCAGACTTTTTAATTTGATTCGCTGCCTTAATTATTAGCAGTTGTTTTGATTTTGTTAATTTAACACTTTCCTTACCTATTTTTGGTCGTTTTACAAATAAAGGTATATTGTATCTACGGAATTTATGTCCCATTTTATAGCGGAACTACATGTAGATCCTCAGTTTCGATGGGATTTAGGTTATATATCATCCATTGTTGAAAACATACATAATTCAACAAAAGCTTTTTCGTTGCAGGGAGACGCTGGTCTTGAAAGCCATATTAACAGGTTGTTTGATCTGAAAAGGTTAGTGTTTATTTCACTGTGGAATATTTCGATTTCGTTCTTAATCATAACGGCAGTTAAACTTAACTTCATGAATGTGTAAATTGATCATTGGTTTTCTTATTCCTAGTATTGAAGGGAAAGCAAACGCTGTTATTCAGGTTGAAATATTTTAAAAGTAATATTTACATATTTCCAAGACTAAAAGGAAATTGCACAACCTCACGCTTGCATTGTAAGTGACGCACACGTGACTGTCTCAAAATTACTTGGAGATCATGTCGAGAAGTAGTTTTGCAAATAAGTCTCAAGATCTCGTTTGCAGGAATTGTTTTTGTTTTTCTTGTCTGATTCGCTGTAAGCTCATTGCCTTGCTTTTCTTTTTAGATACATGCTTGATAGGCTTGCCGCAAGAGAAGGCTTTGAAATGGTTCTAGAAGAGGTAAGTAATATGAGCAAAATAAAGATGTTAACTTCAATTATTTAACAGTAAGTGTTGACAGTTCTACTTGTGCTCTCAGCCGTGCAGCTTTTCAGTCATGTTTCCGTCGGTCGTGCCTCCCTTTCCTCCTCTCTCTCTCTCTCTCTCTCTGTAAAATTTGTAGCAGTGCCTAATTTTTCTTACAGCCTGAGTGTACGAACATCTGCTTCTGGTATGTGCCCAGGTCCATGAGAAAGATGGCCCCCGGGCCAGACAGAGACTACAAACTTAACCTGGTAAGATAGAATTTCAGTAACGGGAGAAATATTACAGACACAGGTGGTTCGTTAAGAAAAAATGGGTTGGGTTATAATCGAGTCTTCAAGTCAATCTTGTTTACTCAGTGCGCAATTAAGGTTATTATCAATTTGTAGTACGATTATCTACTTGTGCGTTTCTGCTCAAGAAAGAAAAATCAGGTATTCACAGTGACAATTCACCGTTTCGTCTATAGGTGGCTCCACGTGTAAAGGGTCTGATGATGGAGGCGGGAACTACTATGATTGGCTACCAACCTCACGGGAATCAGCCCAACTTCTTCCGCATGATAATCTCCAACAACGCCTCCACCAAGTCCGATATAGATTTCCTGCTGGACGAAATAGAACGTCTTGGCGAAGAAGCCTCTTCCGAAATTTAAGACTGATCCTAATCTAAGTGTGTCTTTGACATATTTAGTTCTATGGATTGCAAACTGGACGCTAGTTTTTTTTTATTCCTTGGCAATTAGAACTCTGCTCCGCTAAAATGCATTATTCATTCTTTCTCTCTCTCTCTCTCGGGACAACTTTTGATCTAATTGAAAAATTAAGAGAGATTATATCGAGTGTTGGTAATGCCACTTACGTAACTGTATAAAGTGTGTAATGTGATCTTTGTATATATTTATCTCACATTCCTGTTTCTATGTCTGACCATCGCTTTGAAACTGGTTGCTGTCGTTGAAAAAGGTGGTTGAACACCAATTAAGAATACCATCAGTTACTGTAATCGGTTTTTTAAAAACAACAGCTAAGATCAGATTTAGTTCGTATCTTTCAAATCTATTTATTTATTTCATGAAGAAGGTTACAAGATAGACCCCAGAAACTGAAGTGCAAACAGCTCCGATCTTAGTCGTTGTTTTATAAAGAAACTTATGGTTTACATTAAGCTTGTTTGTGAGGGTCACCCAATAGTAGAAATTAAGAATTCCGTTCTAGATAAAACGCCAGGCACAATGCAAGGTATTATAATTTTGTATCTCCATTAGGCCTATAAATATTTTATTTTAAACAAGTCAGGGAACACTATTTATTACGCATGGGTTAACATGTCGATCAGAACGTGGGATTTTCGTGTATATTATAGAAAAACTAAATTCAGTGTACATTTGTAGAATTTTGTATCAGATGTTCGGTTTCATTCACAGGTAGGCTTCTGAAATTGCCCCACAGATGTAAATATAAGTATCAATTTGGATATAGCTCCTGCTATATCTAACATTAGAATTAGAAACGTTTCGGTCAGTTTGAAATATTTCAAATTCTGTTTCGAGACGACTAAAATTATGGAAAATATTCTCAAGTCCATTAAGTTTTGATAACAGAAAAAAATACTAATTGCTAATCTATTTTAATAACATAAATTTGAAAATTTTAAACCAGTGGAATTCTTCGAGATTGTTATGATGATGTTTAGATTATTCAACAGGCCTAGTCGGGAAACTTCTAGTACATTATCAGCCTTGGTGTTTATTAGCTTGAAATCATTTCGAATCTCATTTAACACCTGTAGCATTCCTTTGAATATGATATTCCACTTTCTTAGTGTGTG